AATATAATTTTAAATATATGAAATTTATATTAGGACAAATTAATAAATTAACTCGTTAAGTTAGAAGTTGTTTAAAAAAAAGAAACTCGTTAAGCTGGAAGTTACTTTTGAAAATAAAWGTAACTCGTTAAATAACTTAGTTAAAAGTAACTTAACTTTAACTTTTTAACTCGTTAATGCCCAGCCTTGCTAATGCTATTATGCCATTGCCACGATCTTACCTTAAATGAATCCGAAAAGCATTCCAGTTCTCTTCAACATGGGGAAAAAAGGTAAAAACTTTCAATTCAACCAATCGTTTCGCTGTTTTATCAACGACAGATAGCGAGACTGAATATGACGTATTTCCGTCCAATAGCAAAACAGTTGAGCAACTATAGTAAGGTATACMTCCAACCAAAAGTGTATCAAAGTCCATTTGCAAGCTACCGGAGATTTATAAAATAAACGTCAGCAATTGTTCAGAGTCCTACCAAACATCAATACAGCTCACGGATATTAATAACTTTTCGTGCAAGTCCACGCCATCATTTTTTAATAATCCACCCCAACAGTCACTCAACCTTCGTAACATTATTGATGAAATATCTTAAAAGTACTAGTGCAGAATATCATATTTTCCGCACTCCCTACATGTGCCGATTAAAGATATTAATAAGGTAAATTTTTTAAATTCAAGGTAAATTTTCGTAACCTTCATCAATCTACGATTTTAACTGATATCGCAGATGCTCAGGCGCAGCTTTCACCATTTTTTTTCGTCAAACTGACGCTTGATGGTATAATATATGATTAATATCATATATAAATAGTAATAGTCTTCAAAGTACTTAAATTTAGTTGGATTAGGTTTTTTTGTTTTCCAAAAATTCTAGGAACTTTAATTTCAATTTCATTATACATTATACACTATCTTTATATATATATATATATAAATATATTATTAAAGACATCTGTAGCTTTAGAACGTTTTTCTTTTAAAACTGATATATCTTTCACAACTTCAAAAGCAGATGAAATATCTTGATCTCTGAATTGCAGAATTTTACTTGCATGGTATGTGACTGATAATATAGATGACAACGAATGAATAGAAATAATAAATTCACGGTTAATTGTATTTAAAAATGTATTAGCTTTTTTAAGAAGATATCATATCTTCCCATTCTGAAATACTAGTCAATGATTTTATTATACAAGGTAAACATTTTTGAAATAATAAAATAGTATCATGTCTTCCAACCCAACGAGTATCACAAATACTAATAAGATGATTGCGGTCTTTAATAAGTGTATTTTTTAGTATGTAATGACGTTTTGCTGATACATTAAAAAATGAAATTATTACTTTCATTGTTCCAACACAGTTATTACGAACACTTAGAGCTGTTGAACACCTAGACAATRACAAGTTTAAAGCATGGTTATTGCATGGACTGTACAGTGCATTTTTTGCAGTTTTTTGAACTTTTTTACTGCACCTTTGGTTCTTGACACCATAAATGTACACCCATCAGTAGCTATTCCTATTWTACAATTATTAATATTTAATCCAAGTTCAAACATTATATTAATTACAGTTAACCCAAGCATATCACCAGTTATTTTTGGTTCAATAGTAACTTCTTCAATATTTCCTAAAGTATCATTAGTACTTTGTGTAAAACAATTAATATTGTCGTCAACAATGGAATTATTTTCGCATACAGGAACAACTAAGAAATAAATAATATGTTTTTATATCGCAGTGYTTGGTACATAGTTAATAAATATTTTTTAAGATTTGTTGTACTCACTTGGTGTATTTGAAACATTTGAAACACTGTTTATCTTTTTTTGAATAAATGTGTCTATTGGACCCGACCTTTGTTTACGTTTTATTTTAATTGTAAGTATAAATAAACTTAAAACTAAAAAGMAACGAGTAACGGTAATGATGTGTTGTAGGTATTTGTCGTTAGTCGATAAATTAATAAGTATTTAGCATAATCACATAGAAAACTAATAAAAATAAAATATTATTATAGGTATAATCGGCACAACCCATTTCAAATTGTGATAAGATGACGATGGCGATAAGTTTATGACAACACCAGCAGCGCGCGTTCGAGAAGTGCCGTTTCTACATTATTATGAACGTTAAACAGGACATGAAGAATCATAACGGAGAATAGGAAAAAAAAATGGGAAATAGTTTTACGGAGGCCCACCATAATCATAACTAATGCTTTATGAGTAATTATTAAAATAGTATCAAAAAAATAAAAATACCGTTTTCACCCCAATTTTATAATATAAAAATAATGTAAAAAATACGGCCCAAGGGGGGGGGGGCGATCACCCCATCGCCCCCCTCGTATCCATCACTGATATATAAGTATATTATGTATCTATAATATTATTTTAAGTATTTAAAAACATTACATTGTTATATTTTTACAATTAAAAAATAAAAACTATTTAAATATGTATAATAATTTTATTTGGATAGTAGGTACAATRATACATATATATTATATTTTGTGATTTACTATACTTTAAATAAATTTACAATATCGAATAGTTTTGATTACTAGCAGAAAAACATTTCGTTGTATTGTTTTTGCGTTGGATATCGACAACCTATCTGGTTAATGAACTTTAATTTGTGGATATCTAATCCAAGATTTTTAAAGTGCAATACTATTTGGCGCCAGATAGTATTTTTACCAGGCGTTCTTACACGACACCAAATAACTGTTAACGGTTTGCCCTTGTCTTGATTGTTTTTATCAACTAGAATTTAAAAAATAATATAGTTGTCTTATATATTACAATAAATATATCGATTGTAATTATTAATGACCTTACAGTGGCTTATCTTCTAATTATATAAATGTGAATTCAAAATCTGTGTTCGGGGTAAACTTACTATGGAACTACTTATCAGATCTTCTTGAATTTTTTAAACGAAAGAGTACATTGTGGAGCAGGTTTATGGCATAAATTTAATTCAATTAAGTTGCGGGGATAAGAGGATGCCGTATAAGTATTTGAGCCATATAAGAGTTAGGATTTTTAACGGGGACAAAGTGCACGGGTTCAGCTAGTTACAGTGGTCGACAACCTTTTTTGACGGAAGAGCCAATAATTACAACATACAAACATTTTCTGATTTTAAAGAGCCACTAAAAATTTTCATAATTTTTTAAAAATAATTTTATTTTTAAATTTTAATAGACATAACAATTMAATTTTACAGTTACGTACTAATTAATGGGTTACATCAATGGGAGCATTGGCTTTGCATGACTTTTGAAAGTTTTGTTAAATTTGACTCATAAGTTGATATTTTAACTATCAAGTTATTGTTATGTATTATATTCCATATTTTCAAAAGCAAAAAAAATAATATACATTTTTTTATATTATGAAATATTGTTTTTATATATAAAATATTAATTTTTGCATGTAGAACTGGAGAGCCGCAACTTAAAATCGAAAGTGACTCACGAGCCGCAGGTTGTCGACCCCTGAGCTAATATAATATATAGTATATAAAGGGGAAAGGTTTGTATGTAATTTTAAGTTATACCTAACAACCTAGAATTTTTGTTTTTTCATAGTCTATAATATGAATAACCTATAATTTAATACTTTCTGATAAGTGATAAACTGATATCCAGGGCTAGGATTTGTATGCAACAACATGTTTTTTTTCCGACTTCTGATTATTGATTTTGTCAGTAATGTTCACCTTATGATGAGATAAATGGTGGTGTTTTTATTTTGCATGTTTTTGCGTATTTTGGATAAAATGCATGTTAATGCATATATTGAATAAAATGAATATTATTGCATATTTCGATTATAAGAATACGAAAAATGCATGTTTTATAGTATATTTCGTAATTAATATTTATAATTTAATATTAATATTTCGTATTTAATTCTAGCTCTGCTGATTAAAGTATAAAACTTGGTTTTTTTGTCAAACACAAATTTTATTTTTATAAATACAATCCTATATGGTACAATTATAGGTATGCGATTAAAGATTGAATAGTTTGGCGGAGAAAGATAAACACAATTAATAAAAGTATGTCGGTCAATATAAGATCTAAGATGGAAATTAAAATGCATATTTTTGCATAGGTATTTTGGTAAATAAAATGAATATTTTACAATTTTTTATTGCATACAAATCCTATAGCCCTGCTGATAACCATCATCACTTTAGAGCATGTCCGCGGTGTTATGTCAATGGTGCGTTATTTTTTTTAGAAATAAGTTCTATTTTCTGTTATTGGCATTTACACTGTTTACATGGAGTTTTCAACAATGTAGATTAATTAAAAACGTTTTTGAGGAAAGTATAAGAAAATATTATATTCCTAAGACTTGCTTTGTTGAAAATTAATTGTAATATAACATTAAATAGGTATGAAATGTCAATATTTTAAAAATATATCAAATGTAATTTTACATTTGAATCTCTGTTTGTATTGTTTATGTCATAATTTATTATAACCCCAAGAAATCWAAATCCACAAAAAATGTATAGTTATAGACTATACTTATGCTATATGCCGAGTTAAGCTTGACTAGTGGTATAAATTGGCACTTATACCTATGTTTAAAATAGTTCTTATATTATACACCACTGATCTATAAACCTATTATGGCTTATACAACGAAATAATATATTATTTAAATATCATAATAACGTAGGTATACTAAGTCTTAAATTTTAAATGTATATTTTACAGTGATCGAATTAAAAAAAATACATAGAATCACAAAAATGTATATGTTAGACTTGAAAAATACTAAAAAAACTTAGAATTATGCTCCGTGTATACCCTTATAGCCAATACTAGAGTATTATAATATAATAGACTCTTAAAATAATTTTTGTTGTTTAAAATTTAAATATAAATACTTACTTTCGGACATTGTGGTGATCATATATCTGTGCTCGACATTAGAGCCGATAATGGTCATTCTAAACCTTAAATTAACTAAATAAAAAAAAAGGAATTAGCCAGATGTTCTCAATCGTTTAATTATTTTTGTCAATGGTTAGGTATGTTTGATGATATATTTAATCGCGGTCATCATTTATATACTTACATTTATGTCCAACAACTTTTTTAGTAATTGAGCATTCCGATGCTGACACTACGCTCAATGGCATTGTAGCTCCTAAAAAATAAAATGTTATTATCTACCTATTATTAGTTGTACTTTTTACATGAAAACAGAATTTTGATAGTTAGATTTTATAAGTTGTATTGTTAAATCATTGTGCTTGAAACTTGAAAGTCGAATAAATTGGGAAAATGATGGACGAAGGCATGGCATGATTATCTCGGTAAATAGAGTTTATATTTTAGAGTATATAAACCATATAGGTAGCTGGATTAGCAGTGGGTCTTGGAATGAAATACAAGAGTCGACAACTTGCAGATTTGACCAATTGACCACTATAATTAACTGAATTTCTATAATATAAGATTATAAGTTTTATTTACTAAACTTTAGTATATGTTAACTGCTCAACTTCCGTGTACATAAAAAATAAGATGGGATACGCAAAAAAGGTAACTTTTCAACCTCCCTCCCCTTTTTAATGGCTGGTATTCAAGCACATCGTAGATGTAACGTATACACACAATGTATAATTATTATTATTATAAAATATGATTATTACTTACGACTTAAAATAAAACCTTGAATGGTTTTATCGTCTGCCGTCACCGACGCACCCCCCATATCTACTGTTAATGTAAGAGATCTAAAGACATAAATAGTAAGGGAAAGTATAAAACAATGGCATGAACAAATAGTTTCCATTATAATTATATGAATTAGGCATAATTTATGAGTCCAATAATTAATCGATCATATTTTAACTTTTGAGCTCATGAAAAACTACTTACTGGTTGTTGATCGCATTCATGTACACTAACCAGCTACTGTCCTTCAGAAGAGGACTAAAGTATGCTGATATACAATTGCATGGGACTTCGTTATCTATTTATGAAACAAAATTGATACAGTTAAAGTTTCTGCTATATATGATAAATATAAGCATAGGGATATTAAATGATGTCGGATAATGGAGTAATAATCCTGAATGTGCTAAACTGCTAAAGTTTAATCTTAACCCATCTCTCAGTAAACTAAAACGTTGACTTTTTTTAATCAGATGGTTTTTGGAAATATTTTTGAATTTTGGGCCCATTTTAGGAATTTATTGCATATTGTTATTATGATTATTTATTATTTAGTTATTTTCGAATCTTTGAGAAATAAATTCCTCTTAACCATTGAGCACTATTGATTATTTAGTTAATAGTTTTCAATACCACATGGGCAAAAGTACAGCAATAAATATAGTCATATTATAAAATATAACATATTACTAATGCAAATGTCTTATTTTATTATTAGACTACGCGTGATATCCTTGTTGTCATAATTTATGTCGAATTGTAAAATTCCAAGTAAATAAATAAAATACTTAATAACTTTATTTATTTTGTTAAGAGAGTTTCAGTTCACCACCTTCTTGTTTTCTTTCTTTGATCTCTACACCACGTTAAATAGAAAATATGCGTTATGCAGAATTTATTTTGTGTTGTTAGCTTTAATAATATGTTATTATCAGTTGTCAAATGTAGAGGAAAAATATCTGCCTACGCTTGAGATTTAATAGTTACGATCTTTTGATTTTTAATTGGGTTTTTAAATTTACTTAAAATTTATAACTTGCTTAAAAATTTAAACGCTGTTAAAAATGATATAAAAACAGTAAACACAAGTAATATTTAGTTTTATACTTTTATCATACCTAAAGCCGCGTCCACACCTGAATACGCACAGGCCGAGCATGATGTGTGCTCATGATGTGTGTTTTACAAATTTGCATGATTAATCACACATGCTCGGTCTGTGCGTGCTCAGGTGTGGACGCAGCTTAACAACACATGATTTTTATATTATAAACATTAAAAAGATATAATTGCGAAGAATTAGTCCTATATTTATCTGCCACCCTACGTACAAAAATAGCAGGGCTTGAAATCGATTTTAAATATCGAAAAAAATTGTTAAAAATCTTATAACAAATCTAAAGTAGTATCGAAATCGTGAATGATTGTTAATGATTTTCAAAATGTATTTTATAATTATAATCGATAATTTATATAAAAATCGAAATCATTACTTATAATCTAATCGATTTTAAATAAATTTAAAAAAAAATTTTATTTTAAATTTTAAAACAGCTAGGCAGTCATATAGCCCCATCAGGTCTATTTATATTTTATTTTATATTGTTCATAACTACGAGAATTGATACATTGGGTAATATCAAGCATAATGGTATGTACCTATAAACGTACCTACAAATAATTAATAACCAATGTCTATTATTTTGTTTTCTTTGCATAGAATCATTAAGCCTTAGTACACTTATTATAGGATAATTTGGAATTGGCGTTCGACGAGCGATTGTCGTTGTTATTGCAAGTTATTGCAAATATTTTTCAATTATTGAACATGATTTATTCCATGTTTAAATATTTTGTATTCTTTGTTACTTAAATGTACGACGAATAGTAAATCTGAAATCTAAACTAAATTTAACGCTGATTGAAATGTAAAAGTAGTAAAGAATAATGTTTTACTATAATTCATAAAYTGAAAATGTTTAATAATATCAAAATATTAATAGTGTGAATGTGATATTTAAATACTAAAATCGAAAACAAAGAAAGTTACATTTAAAATCGAAATCATAATATAATTAAATCGATATTCTGAATCAATAAAAAAATCACACAACAATAAAATCAATATATTATTTTTAAATTGAAATCAGAAAAATTAATAAGCAAAATTGAAATTAATCTAAAATTTTGATTTTGATTTTAAGTCCTAAAAAATAGTTCCTGATTCATAGCGACCACAGGGAAAATTTAAGCGGTGGTCTAAGCAATGATATAGATTTTTAAATCATAAGAGAAAAGACCAACGTTATTACTTTAAAAATTTTTGGGTTTTTTTTACTTTTTTGATTTTTACATTATAAGAAAATAAGACAACAGTTATTCAAAGATATAAATGTATTATTGAAAAAATAACTGTTGAATTTTAGTGAATGCTCCCAGGGTTTCCCGCTGTCATATTAAACAAATTACATTTTYATATCRTACTGATGTCAAGTATTAAAATTATGTGTATAAAATATAAAATTAACATTTGTACAATACGAGTATTTTAAATAGGTACCGTACATGTGAAAATATTACAGTCTTTGCCATCTGAGCATCCAGTTGCCATAACTGCATACCATTGGCCAGTGAACTAAAACAATAGTAACAAATGTTAAGATCAATAGATTTTAAAATACATAAATTATTTTTACAATTCATAAATATTGATTGAGAAATCATTCTTGGATAAATAACTTAGAATAGAGCTCCAGATAAGTTAAATTATTGATTGAAATTTAAAATATGAATAATACTCAATTATTATGCGCACACATCTAATTTGTATAACAATTTACAAATAATTTAGAGATAAAATTATGTTGCAATCATTAAGAAAATATTTGAACTGTCAATAAAATAAAATAATTATATTTATWTGCTTAGTTGTTAGTTATTTTTGAAAACAGAAAGATAATTATTTTAAATTATTTTTTTATAAATTTAAGTATCGTATATGATGTTATCTTTTGAATAATCGCAATTACATACTTTATTTTAGAAGAATTGATAGCACTTAATATACCTACACTTTAAAATAACTTAATAAAATTAATGAAATGATACATTACATTTTTAGTTTCAATACAAAACTGACCATTTGCATTAATGCTCTGAAAACATGCTCCTCCCAAGATAACTATAAGTGACGAAAACACTAAAAACGTATTCATTGTATTTAATTTTTTTTTTTTTTTAATCGTTTGATAATTTGGGAATTTTAAAACAAAAATGTATTCATATCATAATATGCTATATAATCATAATCTCCAAGTTCCAATGACTAAAGTGTGTGATTTGAGCATTTCATGGTATGAGATAATTAAAAAATAAAATTATRCAATTTGTTGTATAAACAGATGCGTGATTTTGAATTGTTTTACATTACAAAGTATTTATTAAAACGTAAGAACAAGTAAATATTTACTTCAAAATTAAAATTAATTAGTTCTCTAATGGTTTTTTACATGTTAAATAATTATTTCAAAAAAATTATTTAAYACATCAACGTTATAGGTTATTTTATTATACATATTTACCGATACATAAATATTATTAATTGCTGTTCATTTCAGAAATGCAAAAAATAAATTGTAAACAGAAATTTGATGTAATTATTTTTTATTAATTATGTTTGAACAAATGTTGAAGATTTGCAAAATTGCAATGCAACTTACAATTTATGTGTGTATAATACTTTGTACCGTAAAAAGTTATACMTACTTTTAAAATAAATTATTATCATTCATATYAAACACACAACCTATGTATAGCCATATTTCAAGATATAACACGCAGGAGAAATCTATTAAATTCAATATTTTAACCTTAGGTATTAAATTTATCTAAAAAATTATTTGCAAGTTTTCTCGTGATTTTGATGAATTTCGTAAATATTTGAATTTATTTTTAACTGTATGGTAATGGTATGATAACTTATTAACCTTACAGTATTAMATTTTTTTTTACTCATAAACGACAAAACAAAAACTTGAAAAATGATGTTGTGATTTTATTTTATGTCATTGAAAATTTATGATATCATAATAATGATCATAAGCGGTCCCAGGAATTTACATTAGGTGCAGCACATTAAATTATACTTAAACTTAATACTTATATACTAAATTCCTAATATCATTACCACACATATAAATACACACATACACACACACAAATAAACATTTTATTCCATTTTTCTACTTGGAATTTTAAATCTTATTTATTTTTATAAACAGTTATGAATAATTATAATTAATATTATTATCTCAACTGATAAAAAAAACAAACGTGGAGGGCGGTTGAAATGTCAGGTGCAGCACAGGCTGCACCCGTAGGATCGCCTATGATAATGATTCGTAATATAGGTACTAATACTATAAGTACAGCCTAGGTAAAGTGCAAGTCTCCGAGTCTCTGACCATATATACCGTAATTTACCTTAATGGTGTCTTTGAAAGTTTGCACCTTATTGCGTATTGGCATATTATATAAATATGCATAAAAAAATAAATATTGTGAGATGTGCGTAATATCACGAGAGAGAACATTTGTTTTCAATTCTGAGTCATATTTGTACTTTAATAATTAGATTAAGAATGAAATTTAATTAGGTACTGATTTTAAAATAATGTACATATAACATATTTAATTTGTGCCTGTTATTACCTACCTTTGGTAACCTGAAACAGAAAAAATTGTTCAATCTTAAATTTAAATGGTACCTAGTTTCTGTGTAGTAACTTGATAATTTGGATACTCTAATAATTATAAC